AGACTTTTCTGAAGCCTTTCTCCTTACACAGACATTTATCCCAAACATTTTTATAGCAAAATCTAAGCCTCCCCTACCAAACTTCAGTTATCTACTAGAAAAGTTCAGAATTGAAAAGTTCTCCCCTCCAGCTGTGATCAAAACACGGACTGTTAAAGATTATCGGAGCCACTCTGAGTTTCTGCGCTACATACTTAAGATATTTACAGAGGAAAGAGAATTTCCAATTCTGTTGCCCTCCAAAATGGGAACAGAAGAGAGGTTTCAATTGAAACTGCTACAAAAATTGATAGCCATTCTGTGACAGAGCAAGGCAAGCTTCCTCAACCACAAACAAATACCACTTTCTTGAGCATCAATCCTGCAGAAACAAGATTTGAATCTCAAATACAGAATAAAGTTCAGCTGGTCAGCTGCACAGAGTGCTGAGATGTATTGAGCAGGACAGAATGCTGGTGAAGGCACAGATAAGAATCTTAAGAAAATTTTAGTGCCGTTTCCATTTAATAGCCAGTCATATGGCAACCTGAAGACCCTGGCTATTGTCACACCAGGGTGTTTCACGGAACTGGTGCAGGAAAACACGATGAGCAGCTGGCATCCCCTGGCTCACTATGCTGAGCCAGTAGCGACAGCCTCAGCTTCTCAGATCTAAGGCTGGAAAGTGTGGTGGAGATATCTCTTGCCAGATGGGAGTCCTTTGGTGAAGAATCCTTTAGGGAGAAGTTTTTGGCTTCCTCTTCAGGGATAGCTGGAAGGATCGTTCCACCATCTCCATCCTTGCAGTCAACTAGAATGGCAACCCCTTCTTCTGCTGTCAGCTGGAGAGAGACCGCTACTCTGAGAATCTCCTCAATGTTTCTGCCAATGGTAGCTGGAAAGAGGGTGGACAGCTTCAGTTTCTTGTTAGGACCATAAACAAATACCACATGAGCGGTCAGAGGCATGCCCTTTTCGTCCTTTTCTGCTGGGTCCAGCATGCCCAAGAGGATGACAAGGTCCTGATTCTCATCATCAATGATGGGGAAACAGTAAGTTTTCTGTGGGCTCATCACCACTGCAAGCACTGATATCCTCACTCCAGGCAAGATGATCCTCTATATCATCTACTGAAAGGGCAACCAACTTAACATTCCTCTTAGCAAACTCTGGTGCCGGCTTCTTCGCTGTTCTGCCCACTGCACATGGGGGTAAAATCCCTTGGGTGGCAAAAGAGGAAGCCCAAGAGTCTCCCAGAAAGTAGTGGAAACAGATTCGGCTGATGTGGTGTCGGCTTCAAAGCTGGAAACCTGACGGCGGAGGAGCCCTCCGGGCCCCAGCGGGGATGGGGAGAGGAGGAGGAGCAGCTGCAGCAGCAGCAATAAGCCAGCAGGCTTGCGCCGAGCGCGATTCAGAGGACTTTTATAACAACTAAATGTGCACCAAGTGAAAAAGCACCGTGCAAACCACAAGTGCCGGCCTGTTGCTTCAATCCCCACCATTCATGTCTTGCCTTTGTATAGTGGATTATGTTCCAAGTGGCTATCTCTAAATTTCCTTTCCGTAGGGGATAACGCAGAGTTCTTGGTGTTCTTTCATCATAAGGAAGTATATTTTTAGTTCAGTGCCTTTACCTCCAGTTGCTTCACTTCTCAGAGCACTAAACACACCGAGGCATTCAGTGAGAAGCTTGATGTGGTCTGACAGTTACTGCACTCTGTCGTGAACGCTCAGTGCGTTTCCGAATGCTCCTCTTCCCGATTTTGCGCTGCTGCTCTCCTGCCTTCTCCGGCAACTTCCCAAATTCCCCTTCACCAGACCGGCCTTCGGGATCCCGATTGCAAGCAGCAACGTGCTCTCCACCCCGTTCTCTGCCCCCTTTGGACTGCTTCATTTTTCTAGTTATCCACAAATAACATGTTACATATTTACCACTTTTCTTATCATCTACACTTCCACGTACAGCTGGGAACTCTGTCCTATACCTGGAACAGCGTCTATCATGCAATAGTTGTTCAATATTGTTTTTAAATAAATGCATCAGAATAGGTGCTGTGGATCCTCATGAGTGGAATCTTGTTGCTCTAGGAGACAGACCAGTACAACTGCATGGGGCATCCGGATCTGGGATGAGATTACCAAACTTGACTGTTTTGCTGTGTCTTAAAACAGACTTCTGTACCATGATTTGTTCCTGAGAACGAAAGAAACCACTTCCTCTCCTGGCAGGTACCTAAACCAAGTTCTGAGCTGGCTGTATGCAGAGCCCTTCTGTTCCCCGCTGGTTTAAAGATAGTGACAATTTCTGCCTGCATTTAGCAAGCTTTCTGTTTTCTTTCAGTACTTGAGGAAAATTTACATGTCTTTTCTACCCAAGTCATCATTTTGATCTTGGTAGGGGCTTTCCATTAATGCTGTGTGGGCACTTGTACAAAGAAAGCACCTACTTACAACGCTTATGGGAAATAAATTCTTATTTCATAGGTGCAAACATCTGAAGCTATAACTAATTTACGTATTATGATAAAGTGGTCCAGAAATAGTACAAAACTTGCTGAAGGTCATGTGACTAATTTCTGCAATACAGCTGGGTCCAATGCATGTGTCCCGTGATTCCCTGTCATGTGACTTCGTATTCTTCTGTCCTTTCCTTTAATAAGTTCATCTGTTTCTCTTCCTCCGTCTGCATTAACTTAAAGCCCCTCAATCCTTGTTTTACCTGATGTCTGTCTCACTGACCATCTTACTTCCTCACCTTTCAATTATTAGACTCCACCATTGGTTTTTCCCATTCTTCCTTCTCCAGATGTAGTGTGATGGAAAATAATGTGGTCTTTCAGCTAAGCTGACATCCCAGGATTAGCTCAGTGGTCAGTGAAAATGTATGGCCCAAGAAGGCTGGCACCATCTGCTGTCAGCTCAGGGGAGAGCTAGCGTCTGCCTTCTGTTTCTCTTTGGCCGTGTGTTGCTCTCAGCTTGCTACCAAGATTAGCCATGCACGTTATTACTGACTGTCAGATTAGCAATGTGCTGTGCACCAAAAGTTCAGCAAACCTTTGGAGCTGGTATATTTCTCTGTTGCCTCTCTTCTTCTGACTTGTGGATACCTTTTGGCTCCTTCTGGACTTTAGACTGAAGATTGAGGCTATCATTGGACTGGCAGTGCCTCCTAGTGGCCCTGGCTCCAAAGATTTCCAACTGAGAAGTGGCTGGGACAGCAACAGCCCACCTGGAAGCCCCTGCCCTGCCCTCTCCTTACTTCTGAGTTCCATGCCTACGTCATACAGTGAGAATTCGGTGCTTATTAGTTCATCATCATGTATCAGTCTTTCAGTAGTTTGCTGACTGAATTCCCAACAGTGACTATGACAATGAAAAAATAAATGGGGGGGGCAGGAGATACAAATAGATAATCATTAATGTCTCTGGAGGAGGCTGGTTTACAAAGCGCTTTGTAATAATGTGGTCACTGTGTCAGCTGCTCAGAAGTGCCAGAATCATCCTCCTGCAGTCACACATATGAGGCCTCCTCAGGAAGAATTTCAGAATTAGAGACATACAGAGAGGCCCAGCTGGTTTCTCCAGGAGCTTATATTCTGAAAAGAATAGGCATGATTTCAAAGATCATAGTTTCCAGTGCGTATGCTCCACAAAAATGAAAGCTGTAGCACGCCTGCAGGCATAACCTTGAGACTACTGTCCTCAGGACCTTACTGGCACAGGATGCATGAGTGTAGATTTGGGTCTGAGAAAGAAGATTTCTGAGAGCTAGGGAGGAATCCCAAAGGCTTCACACCTCCACGAAGGAGAGAGAAATCCTGCATAGCAATGGAGAAGGCCACACCGCAACAAAATGAAGCAGGAAGTTTTGATGCCCCAGAACGCTTCCTCTGAGGTGCCTCGTGGTCCCCAAGGCATCCCCTGTTCTCACGCTGTTTTGCCTCCTCAAGGGCCCTCATTCCAGAAAATGCCCACTTTCCAGCTCCTTCTGTTTGCTAAGCACACCTCCCTCCTGTTCAGTCTCTCCAGGCCTTGCTGCCCATTTGGACAAAGAATTTTAGGCTAAGATTTGGATACTGTAGGTACCGTGAACTGTTCTGTCCGTTCCTTTGATGTGTGCATTTTAGCTGGAGACTCCTGAAGTCCTGGCCTCACTACTGGTGGAAACGAATCTTATCTTCCAAATTACACACACCACCCACCTCGACGGCCCTGTGCCCGAGCACAGAGATGACACTGTTGGCACAGAATGCCCTCTTGTGTCCCTGAGTCCTGCCTCGGGGTCCCCACAGCTGCCCATTCCTGGATGGTCACTGCAGTGACAGAGTCCCCACCTGCCAGTGCCAGGGCCAGTGACGTGGAGCCCGCAGGTACCACATCCTGATACGTGATTTAATCGACGCCCGAACACGGGGAGTAGAGAGGGGTGGAGAAATGCGCAGCCCTCGGGGCCCGAGAAGAGGATTTCTCTTCGGTGACTACTGCCTGGGTGACTGCGGAATATTCCAAAGCAGCGACAGGATCCAGCATCACTTTGGAAGATTACAAATTAATTAAAATGCGCCTTGGCAAGCGTTTTTAGGGTTAGGGACCGGAGAGGTGAGCGACAAGTGGGGACAGCTAGGACTGTGCCGCTGCGACAGTGACGTTTGCACTGCTGTTGCCTATGCCTCACACAACAGGATTCTTGGGTTTCTAAGACATTTCTAGAAAATGCACCACGCCAGCCTGCACCGGCCCTGGTCCCCTAACTGGCACCCCACCTCGGCCCCTTCCCCAGACCCCGCGTCGAGTCAGCTGTGCGCCCCCTCGCAGGGCACCACCGGCAGCGCGGTCCGCAGAGCTGCTT